CGACAGAGGCGCCACATGCAGCGTGCACTGCAGGATAATTCAAAAACCGTTAATTATGGCAAAATTGAGGTATTAGAAATTAAATCAAGTACATGGAACTGTTCGGGAGAATCTGCTGCATCGATATCGTGTAAGAAAACCCAAACTACGGTAACGTTAAGTATAATTACATAAGGTAAGTTATCGATATAGTCTATGCCGGCTAATATTAATATAGTTTGTTTAACCTAATGTAACAAGTATATCTGTAGTTGGTAATGTAACGATAGTCCCATCGTAGTTCAATATACATACATACGTACATATGTAATATAACCAAAAATGACTCCATATTGGAAATATTGACAACCGTATGAAGATTTTAATCGCAGAAAACGCTTGCCACAAACGCAAGCGATAAATGTTGTAAAACAAATCGATTCATGTATAACACATGCGTTTTCGTCGTCCGTTTCCTTGCTAGGAATATCATTTCCATGCGACTTCTACACAACTATTGATAGTGTACATTGCCAAAGTCATGTCCTTATTTCCTGCTTATTCCATTGAGACAAACGAAGCTATAACATCGAGTAAACCAGAAAATCTTTTACAAGGTTAGTAAAACCTGTTTACATCGTATCGCGCGCGTTATTGTTTATAATTAAACGACGAATTTTTATCCAATTCCCCGCATCTTGTTGCATGCAAATGCTTTCTTGCATTTGTTAGTTTCGTACATGTTATAAACGCATGAAGATTCACATTCTACTTCAAACTTATAATATGATTTTCATATAATGTAACTGTTTTGTAATTGTAGGCGATGTATCGAGCAGTTGGTTACAAAATGGTAGTTGTTTGGATCAGATTTCATCTTACAATTTTATAGATTTCTCTTCAGAGTCTTCGAATGAAGATAAAAGCAGAGTGTTTTCCTCCGATGAAAAACAGACGTTCCACAATGTTATATCGTCGAGTAAAGAGAGGTCTGTGTATAGAGGAAGAAAACATCGCAAACATATTAAAAAGAAAAAGAAAGAAAGAAAAAAGTATGGAACAACAGAGAAAACGTATTACAAGCAAGAAGTGGAAAATGTATATTTTGAAGATAAACGTCGAGATAAGGGAAATAGTACGGTAGAGACGCTTTGTTCTAGAGCTAGACCGTATTACAATACTCGGAGAAATTCCATAGGTTTTATATCCTATGAGCATCGAAAAAAGGATTCTTACGAAAGATACTATGCGAATAACATAGATCTTATAGATAAACATAAGAAACGAAAAAGTAATAACATTACAAAGGAATCCGTGCACGATTCGTTTAAAGAAATAGAATATCCTTTCTTGTCGAATGGTATCTCTGTAGAATTACAAAAGACTAAAACTAAAGAATATAATGAAATGTTGACAGATGATCCAAGCAATGTTAAACTATGGATCGAATACATTCAATTTCAGGTACGTGGCTCTTATTATTTTCTCGGTATTGTCAATGTCTTTTATACGAGTAACGTGTACGATGCGACAGGACACGTTGGAGTACTTTCAAAAGTATCAAACAACAAAGGATGTTCGTAGAGCAGCAACAATGAAAAAATTATCTATTGTCGAGAAGGCTTTAGAAAAAAATATAGACTCCACTCGGTTGCTAAAGTTGAAATTATCTTTAATGGAAGAGTTATTACCAGCCGATGAATTTTCAAAACAGCTCGAAACATTAGTAAACAAGGATTCGGGAAACATAATTTTATGGCAAGGATTAATCATGGCTACACAAGCTTCCATAGCGATATGCACTGTACCAAAAGTATTGGATTTATATTCAAAATGTTTTTGTGTTTTGAAACAAAAAGCTAGAATGAATCCTCGAGTATACGACGAAGGATTATTAGGTAAGTTATGCGAAAACCTGCAATGCATTCTTGCAATGCATTCGGTTAGATAATATTATTTAAACTTTGTTTTATACCAACAGAGATGTTGTGTTGGTGCCTAATGTTTCTGAGACACACCGGACTTTGGGAACAAATGTGGGAAACGATACGTTTGAATCTCAGTTTGAATCTCAGTTTAGGAAAGGACAGTCTATCCTTTCAAAAAACAATAGATGAAAAGAAATTAAGTATGGATCATTAAAAAATATTAACATCACTCCTTTTCTGTTCAATCTTACTACTGATTTGCGATTTGCGATTTGTACAGTTGGAATGGAAGAGGTAATATTAATGTCGAGATTACCACTCAATCAACTGTGGCAAAGAACAGAATCGTTAAGAGAAAATTGTCACTGGATCAGTGTCAGCAGGGACGAATTGGAATTAACTGGAGATTCTCGAAGATTCGTCTTGCCCGACGATGTTGCCGATTTTGTACATCCTATATTATCGCGAAATTTGAATTTCCAAATGTCGGTACACATGCTACTTCTACTTAAAGTGCCACTTCTACCTACTCGAGATTACATGTTACAGGTAAAAGTATAGATAGATATCTTGCTTTCGGTACTGTAGAAAGAATCATGCTATCTATATATGTATATGTTTTGTTGCATTACAGATGTTGTGCTTAAACAAATTTGAATGGAGCACAGAGACTTCGGAAGTACTACTTCCATTTGCTTATCCTGTAGCCGGTGAAATGACTGGGAATAACGAAAGAAGAGAATTATTGAATGGTATACTAGAAGGAGGATTAACATCGGGTCCTCAATATCTCAAGTTTCATCCGGCACAGGAATCTTATCTGGATTTTATACGAGACACGTTTTCTACGATAGCCGAAAATTTACCGCCTTTGCAACGTACAAGCATATATATTTGGTGGTTACGATTTGAGAGATTGCTCATTTTTCTTCGCAAAGATGACTCTATAAAATATGACAACAAGTACAATTCCTTTCACTCATCCATTTAATATAACAACTTCACACATAGTAGAAATATACATATTACATGTTTTTGTTTTATTCTATAGATGGAAGAAATTGAAAACAACGTTAAAAGAATTCTTGAAGAAAGAGGAGAATAGGAACAACTTACATTTTTACAAAGAATATGCATTAATAGAAAAAGAAATGGGAAGATTTGATAATTGTGTAAATATTTTGGAAACGGCGATTAAGTCTCAATACTCCTGCCCGTCGGCAATATCTGATTCCGACGAGAAAACGGCACTCTTCAGTTTATATCGAACATTCATTGAAATTTTACTTGACACTAATACGTACAAAGATACGCATAAAATTCGAATATTGAATGTTGTTAAACAAATGGTTATCGAGGCCGATGGAAATCAATTGCAACGCGCCAAAATATATTTAGAAAAATATGTGAAAAGTTTTTTACAAGAAATTCCTGCAGACGATGAAACCGACACGTACTTTCTACCAAATCTGAAATCCGACGCGATCGTATGTTACGCGTACTTGTTGTACACAGAGGACTTTGATATTAGTAAAGTAACAAATCTGTTTGCAGATTTCATAAATCACTTCAAAAACTGTCGTTGTATGCAGGTAGTAATGCGGTTCACTCATCAGACTACTCTATATACATTAAATATATTGCATATGCTACATTTGTGTTTCAGGAAATATTATACGAAAGTCAAATTGCAATCTTGCAATTGCATTACAGACGATTTCGAGAAGTAAACATTTTGAAAAGTATATTAAATGAAATGTTAAACATATATCCAAACAACTTCTCTGCTCTTTCGATGTTGGCATGTATCGAGGTAAAGACTACTACATTCTAAACAAAAAGTATCCTTCGATGTCCAACATTTTATTTCTCAACGAATTTTGTTTTTATCCAACAGAGTAACTCGCCAATTTGGAAGTTTAATAGCCAGAGCACGAAACTGTCGTTGTGGAAAGCATTTGCTATGTGTTTAGCTATTCGTAAACGTATTCATTTCTTAAGAACACGTGAAGACTCTGTCGGTATGAATGCAGCAGTAAATAAGTTATTTAATTTTCATCAAATTCTTGCATCGTATGTTTTCAATAAATTTCTCTTCATTTTTTTGCACTTTATGTATAGATATTAGATAATAATAGGAAATAAGTGTTCATATTTACAGAGAACAAACAACCAGGTGTTGCCCCTTGTTATGGAGATTGTACATGCTCCTTCTCAGAGAATGTAATTTATGTGAAAAAAAGGGAGAAGAAGTGTATCATAAAAGTGTAGCGCAATGCCCCTGGGTTAGAAGCATATATATTGATGCAGCTGAAATTGCACCTCAACTACTTACGCAAATTCAAGATGTGATACGCGAAAAAGAATTAAGAATGCATGTTACTCCCGAAGAATTGGACATATTACGTGGTTGAGATTTCATGTTCATACAGGGGAAAATACAAAGCACGGAGATTCAGAAAATGATAAAAGCTTGATGTATATAATTTGAGCAGCAAAAAATTTCTATACATATTACATAGTTACTATTTCTACTATGTTACATAATTTTCCGGATTTCTTTTAGTTAATCAATATTTTCTAAGTTTATTACTGTGCGCGCGCGCGCGCGCGCGTGTATATACAAATGTATTTGATTAAAATGCCTATAAACAAAAAAACTACATATTATTTACTTATTGTACTCATTATGGAATCTTGAGAAAATATTAACTACATAATCTCCTTAACAACGATGATACTTCTAAGTAAGTAGACGCGAATTGTGTTGGCTTTGGACTCTTATCGAATCAAGTTTTGTAGCAATCAGTTGACTTACGCGATAGGGAATCGCGGTTAGAAATACTAAGTGTATTGTATATACAATTGTTTGTAAATGTACAATTTGTATACGAAGGAAGTTAACATCGAGATTGGTCTTCGAAAATAATTTCGGTATTTAAGAATAGAAATATATGCAATATAATATGGAAACCTTAGTCTTTTCTTCCACGAATCATTGAATTTCAATAGAGAATAGTACAGGTTAAGTTAATCTTTATTGTGAATAATTTCTGCATCGCAATGTCTTTATTAATTACTTACGTAAAAAAAAAAATCATCTTCATTTTGTTATACATTGCTCAAGGAACCATATAAATATAATAAAATGCAAAGTAATTTTTTGTCTTGTTAATTTGCAATTGATTCTTTCAGCATAGAAGACTTCTAAATTCCAATTTATAATTCTTTGTTGAGAAGATATACGAATATTTCCAAGTTTCGTCTTTGGAACTATTATACAACATGGATATGAAGGCTGTCGTTGTCTCTGGAGAAGCTCCAGAATCCGATGATGATAGTGCAAATGTTGCCACTGTATGATACTTTTATATTACTTTACAAATTATGTTAATCAAAAATATAAGTATACAAAGAAAATCATGGAATAATCGTAATGCTGTATGTAGGGTATGGAATTTTCTTCTACGCGAAATCCTAATTATTGTGGCACTATAATTTCTGGTGAAGCACCTGAATCCGACGATGGTAAGATTATTCTTTTCGTAATGTACTTTTTTCTAAAAATAACTTTACCCTAACACATAATTACTCCGACCAGATGGAACAAGTTTAAGCAGCATTAGCGGAGCAGTAGATGCTATAGCGTGTATGCCTTACACTGACATCAAAATACCAAAATCAAAAAAATATTCCATCAGATATAACAGTTTGCTACACAAGAAATTATGTAAGTAAGCAACTTCTCTCGTTATATTAAAGTTCGTTAATATCATTTTATTAATACTGTAGTAATACAATATGCAGAACTATTCTAATATATCATCTAATAATTCTGATGCGAAAGAATGTATTGCAACGTAATTTAATTTAATCTTCTTTCCGGGCTGATTTTTGTCACTCTATCAACATCAATCGCTTACAAGCATTTTGCATTTGAATTACTTTATATTCATATTACACGGATAGTCTATAACATTGAATTTTCCAAAGAAATGCGCGGTACTTGATATTTTAATTAATAAATCTTGTAATGAAACAGACGAATGCAACAAAACATTGGACAAAGATCTTGTGCAAATGATCGAGGGTACAATCGACGCCGCCACGCAAGACTTGTCATGCGTTAATCGACAACTGTTAAAAAGTGAATTGATTCTTCAAGAAGCAGTCTGTCAGTTGCGTAGTGCCTGCATTCGAACAAAAGATACTTCAAGCGTCTTGCATCAGCTTATGGATGTCAACTTTCTACATTCTGTTAAAACTTAATTTTCACAAGTATATACATATATGTATAATGTACATAATACTTAAGAAGGAACACAAGATAATAATAGCGGTAACAATGATAATATGAGAAAAAGAGGATAGTGTAATACGATGAGTCGGTATAAATATATTGGACACCATGCAATTAAGAGAAAAGAAAAATAATATACACGTGCTATTCTCACAGGATTTGGTGGGTAGGATATATTATTATATTGAGCATTAGTTGTTCTCTTTCATTGGCAGTTCTATTAAATATATTAATTGTTTCCTAGCGCGTCTTAAAATTTAATTAAAACATTGCTTCTTCCGATGTATCGTAAAGAAAGATCGTTAAACACGACGTACAGAACAAATTTGAAATGTACTTGCGCATTCGCATACTGGATCGTTGCATTTTAAATATCCGAATGACAATAAATCTGGACATTATTTCGTAATATACAGATATTGAGGTATATATCAAAGAATGTCACGATATTTTAATAAGAATGTTTCTGTAAAGAGTAAACATAAGCAACGAGGACTTGACGTTCGTCAGATCCATAGTATTGTTTTTATAGATTTTAAATGGTAGGTTAGTGTTTTAGAATACGAAGAAATTGTCTTCTTATTCTTATTATAAGTACAGATACAACGACATAATCTTTATCTTGTTATATGGCTTACTCTGCATATGCCTAATCTTTTCAGAAACACAAGTTTTGCGCACATGTTTTCTCCATTTCCTGCAATTTCTTTATTTTTTTTTTTTTTTTTTT